TAAGACTCCGACTCAAAAAAAAAAAAAAAAAGCTCTGGGCTTGTCTTTCGTTCTCTGAGAAGCTACTCAAGCGCCAGTCCTGTGCTAGGAAGGAGCGGGCAGCAGACCTGTCACCTGCCCCAGATGCCTCAGCCCCCAACGCCTCTGGTCCCAGTTCCTCTCCTGCATGACTGAGCTCTGGACGGTGGCTCTGGCTTGGTCCCCACACCCCTGGAAGTTCCTGCTGACCTGTCCCCCACCAGGGCTGTTGGGGGAACAGTTGAAGGCCTTGGGGGACAGGGAGGCAGGTGCACAGGCCCGGGCTGGCCCTTCCCAGGCCTCTTGGGGGAAGGACCCAAGAGGCAGGAGACAGGAAGTGGCACTGGGAAACATGGCTGTGACATCATGGCCAGGAAGCCTTGGAGATGAGCAGAGGGCGATCAAGGGCCTGTCTCCAGAGCAGGGGTCCCTAGTGTCTTCAGCATTATTGCCCAGGTGCTGGCCAAGCTCCCCTGGAAGGGTGAGAGGTCTTTACGGACAGGGACTTGGGCTTGTCCCCTGGCCTGGACTCCACACTGGCACACAGTAGGTCCGGGTAAATGTCTGTAGACTCAGTGGGCGCATGTGTTGGTGAGAGTGCAGCTGCATGCATCATGGTGATGCAGCCTCGTGTGTGTTTCCAGCTGTGGGACTCCATGCCTGTGCGGCCTCGGCCATGCTGTCACCGTCCCCGAACATGTGCACTTGTGTGTGGGCGTCTCCCCAGGAGCCCTTGCGCTGGGCCCGTGTGGGTGGTGGCACCCTGTCTCCTTCATGCACAATGGAATCCCGTCCTTGCTTTGTGCTGCCTCTGTCGGAGGCCGTGTGTCTGCCCCCTGAGCACAGCTGTGGGGACCCTCCATGGCATTCCTGCAGCCTCTGCAGAGGCCAAGCCTACTCCTCCCCCTCAGACCTTAAATCCTCCCAGCCACCGCCATGTGGTCGTGAAGGCTGTCCCCAGGGTTCACATGGGTGTGAGGTGCCATTTCCCATGGGAGCTTCCCAGGCCCTGGGCCCCTCCTCTGTCTCTCTCAGGGATGTTGGAAATTGTGGGGGTCAGACACTGGACCCAGACTGCCTGGGTTCAAATCCTGGCTCCGTCACGTACCAGTTCTGACCTCAGGCAAGTCACCAAACTCTTAGGGCCTCAGTTTCCCCATCTGTAAATGGGGGTGATAATAACAATACGCACCTCAGAGGCCTGTCAGAGGACAGAGTGTTCACGGCTTGGGTCATTATAGGAAGTCAATAAATCCTAGCTGGCAGGTATCGCATGCCATGAAACACTGAGGGTGTGGCTTCTTGTCAACAGGTGTCTGATTTCCCCTGTGCCCAGTGGGGAGGTGACATCTGGTGGCAGCTGCAGCAGTCAGCGCACACCCAGATGCCAGTGGCCTTTCTCCTTGGATGCTCACTCTGATCCTCCTGAGAGCAGAAGTGTCGGCCCTTCCCCTCACTTTCTCCAGATGACGAAGGCCGGATGATGGTCTTCAGCTGCTCAGGGCAGGTGCCGGCTGGTTCTGAGACAGCCCGGCAGTTCAAAAGTGCCATAGGCCTGGGGATGGGACTAGAGGTGTGGGCGGGTGGGGGTTTGGTGTGGGAGCAGCTGGGGGAGAGGAACACGGGTAGGTATAAGAACAGGTGTAGCCGGGCTCGGTGGCTCAGCCTGTAATCCCACGCCTTTGGGAGGCTGAGGTGAGTGGATTGCCTGAGCCCGTGGGTTCGAGACCCGCCTGGGCAGCGAGACCTCATCTCTACAATAAATCAAAAAATCAGC